AGACGAAGAAAAAGAAGAAGGATGTAGAAAGAAAAACCAAAATAAGAAAGGAATATTAAAAAGAAAAGAAAAAGATGAGGGGGAAAGGATAAATATCTGAGAAGAAAAGGAATGAAGGAGTATAAATATGAAGGATTATAAATATGAAGGAGTTAAATAATGAAGAATTAAAAAGATGAAGAAGTAAACAGATGAAGGAGCAAAAAGTTGAAGGAACAAACAGATGAAGGAGTAAACAGATGAAGGCGTACAAAGATTAAAGGGTAAAAAGGTGAATGGGTAAAAAGATAAAGGAGAACGAAAAAAGGAAAATGAATGAAAGTAAATTTTAAAAGCGTAAAGCAAGTAAGTATTACAAAGAAAGGAAGGAAAAATCAGTGAAGGAAAAAATGGTGCAATGTACGAAATAAAAAAAGCAAATTAAGCAATGAATAAATCAGGTACAGATACTACAGATAAAGCCGGTAAAAAAAAAAGAAAAAGTGAAAATAAAACAGGTGATGTGAAAAAGAGAGAGGAACGAAAAAGAAAATAAAGAAAGTCGGAAAAATAAATGTAGAAAGAAGGAAGAATGAGATGATGAAGAAAATGGAAATAAGTTAGGAAATATGAAAAAAAAAAACTACATAAAAGTATACGAACAAAAAACGGTAAATGAAGAACAAAAAGCAAAAGTAGAAAAATATTTCTACGCGTGGAAAGGAATTCCGAAATGGAAAATATAGAAAAATATAAGACAGTGTGAAAGGAGAAATAAATCTTCGGAGTCGGGTGGAAACAAGCAGAACGAAAAAAATAAAATAATAAATAAATAAAAATAAAAAAAAACTAATTAAATAAATAAAGGTAAAATAATACATCCTTTTCAGACATTTGGTCCCCAATATAATTTTTTGACCTAACCATAAGAATTATCAGAGTAAAACATTCCACAGGATATTCGACCTAATTGTGTCATCCTAACATTTAATAACATTTTGACTCAGGATTTCTTCAACATTCCTGACAGGAATAAAAGCAAAGGAGACGTACAGCTAAAAAGACAAACTTGTAGAACATTACAAAGATAAAAATAACATGTCGTTGAGCATATTCGAAGAGGTTTGGAGAAAAACAAAGACACCTTTCACTAGAAGAAGCGTTGGGTAATGGAGTTTACGGCTATCAGCTTAATAATGGGTTTTAGAAACAGCCGAGTGATTGAGTACGCATGCTCAAGAAAACGATAAAAAATAGCCTGTGTAGGTGAAAAATAATAATAAAAACTGTTCTCATATAGTTAATGATAATTTAATCCTTTTACTCTTTTCGTATTGATTCGTTTCCATTATTGTCATTAAAGTAATAATAAATCAAATTGATACATTTGATAGCGAACTGTTCACTTTAACAGAGAAATGGTAAATATACACATACATATCAAAATATATAAATTTTGTGTGTGTATGTCACCACAAAATGTATCCTTTCCGGTTACATCTTTCATGTATTAGACATTCGACTATTCTCTCACTTAAACCGTCTTTGACTCACCTCTCTAAAACTTCTCTCTGTTAAATTTTAATCTCTCACCTTCTCTCGTCTGTTACCCCTCTCTATAGCTCTAACATTCGTCCCACACTCTCATACTTACACTCACTCTAAATTTTATTTTTTATTTCCAGAGTTGTTCTTTCTGTTTTCTTTTGAATTTGTACGTCTGATGAATTGGATCGCATTTACGATTCCAATGGAATAAATTATGACTACGGAATATTAGTGTTTAAGCCTGTTTTTATATATATATATATATATATATATATATATATATATATATATATATATATATACGTTTGCTCTGAAAATATAAAAGTATGTACAAAATATTTGTAGTTGAGAACATAGTTACGTGCAAATATTTAGATTTCGGCATTAAGTAACCCATGGTGGGTGATATACCACCAAACAAAATCAACCAACCAACCATGATAAAAAAAAAGCTTTTAGACATTAGTCCCTATAATATCCAATAATTTCTTAAATAAGTCAAGCTGTATTCCAAAATATAACTTCAACAAGCTACAATATAAAACACAAATATCACCGCTTCTAGTAATCAATTCTACCCAAATATGTATATGGGCAAAAAATGAGTTTTATTTACCACGTATTCAATTGTGAAAGTAGAATAAAATATATCATATTTTTGTTTCTTCCAAGAAAATTACATGACACATAAGGTGTTGATATGCGGTTAAAGAAACAAATCAATTAATCAACTTAGTCTGTTTTTGCATTTGCATACGTAGTAATGACATTTTTCTAAGTAATCGAAATAAGAGTAATTTGTTGCGATACAAATATATCAATAGGTGGGATAAATATTTAGATATTAGTAGTTACAGATAGATAGATAGATAGATAGATAGATAGATAGATAGATAGATAGATAGATAGATGGATCCTTGACGCCGATGGTGTGCCAAATATGTAAGTTACGTGAGAACTGGACAGTTTTTATTGATCTCTACCATATACGTATTAGAGGGTCCACATATTAACATCAACATACGTGACATTTCGCCCACAAGGCGAGGTGAATAAATCTTATGTAGCTGAATATAGTGAAGCGAGGGATATCGGAAAATTACAGTGAGGCATAAATCAACCAGAATTAGAAAACTGTGAACGCCGTAAAACAACCGGAGGAATGAAATACTTCCTTGTAATAGTGTGAAGAGCTTTATTATTGAACGCGTGAGTCTGTGAAGTCATAACAAAGTTGTATGGCACTGAGAAACAATGGGCAAGCATAGATAGGCGAATTGCAATATGATCTTCGCATTCCAAGAACAAAAAATCCAAATTTGGTTTCCAAAGGATTTGACGGAAAAGAGTAAGTTCAGTGCATAGGCCATTCTTTTCAGCTTCTGGATCCGTATAAAAGAGCTTAATGAAGAAAATAGATCTCTTAAATACGGGTGATAAGAGCTGTATCAATTTAATCCGGGAAGAAAGATTGATTTCATCTTCTCTGTGTCATTAAATTCCCCTGTGGAGAATACAGTCACAGAGTTACCATGCTAGATGTTTCTGTCGTCCTTTTCAGTAGCTTGTAGTTTTTTTTTTCTTTTGTTTTTCTTTTTCCTGGCTGGCTATATCAGTCTCACGTTTAATCAGTTCTGGATTAAGAATTGTCGTTCTATGGACTGCCAAATGAGTTAAACAAAAAATAAAAAAAAAAATAAAAATAAAATTCCCAGCTTGGCTTGCTGTGTTTACTAATAGCCGCATGAAAGATGGATTCATACCTTTTCCAAGTTTAGTGTGAAAGTAAAACTTATCGGGAACTTGAACTCACGACGACGATCTCACTTACAGCGCCGATAATCTACGACGCTCGTCGACATTCATCTTCAGTGTCCAGCTCCAACATTCAGCACTCAGCGACAGTCGTGTTTTGACGTGTAAAAGAACTTCTGAGCGTTGATTATATGCCGCGGGTAAGTCCAGATATTTAATGTAGGGAAAATACATGAGAGACCAGCAGAGATACGGAAAGTTGTTCCTTGATAGAGACTAAGATGAAGGAGTGTCTCCAGCGATATGATTGGAAAGTTTTATTGCACAATATGCCCCTTGAAATGATATTATCATCTGTGTAAGTACCATTTATCCGGGAAGCTGTTTCAAAGAAATGACACTGATGTTGAATATATTCAAGGGTGATTACCTAATAGGTGGTAATGGGCAAGTGGAGAGCAGAGTTCACATTTCAGTTTAGTATAATTAATTGACACGAAAATATTCTTGGGAAAGATATGAATCTATCTCCTCTCCTCAAGTATGGTTTAAATAGTAGTAACTGGAATAATTATTGTTATTCTCAAAAAGTAGTTAATAAAATATTGCCTCGTAAAAATAACTTTTTACGATACAAAATAGGTTTAATCTTTACATAACCCACAAATAGTTGATAAGCCGTAAAACAAATCAATCAAAGGTGACTGCAGTCGCTTGACACCACCTCATACGAAGAGGATATATATATATATATACATTGGTGCACCGTTGTGATAAGTATTTCTATTAATATCTGGAGATTATTTTGTTTATATAAATAGATATAGATATGTTGTGTAAGTACATATTTGTACCTTATTTATATCACAGAAGTGCTAAGTTGGTATTTCCTCCTCCTTCTTTATATAAGTAGAACATGATATCGAAAAGCACGATGTCATTTAAACCTGAATACACGAAACTCTTGTTTTAATCAAAGACATCATTGATTAAATTAAGGATAGAAAGTAGATATATGATTAGAATATACAACATCTTATATGTCAAATGTATGATGCAAGTCAATCTTTTCACAGTGATGTTGGGACAAAGCAAATGATTTAAATTAAATGTTTTCATATTTGAGCAGTATATCGTGTGAGGTTAAGCTTATAATAGTCATCACCAGAAATGTTCTTATATTCTATTGTTCACTCAATGAAAGGCCTCAGAACCACTCTAGGTAGATGATGTTGTTTTAAGATCCTAAAGCGGTGAAGTAAGAAGTGTTTATTATGATGATATGTAGGAAAAAAGTTGACCCTAGAGATTAAGGTGTTAATAGAGTAGTGATCGCAAAGGATCTTCTGAGAAAGAAGCAGTCTAGGAATAAAGATGTGTCAACTCTGTGTATGTGGCATAGCGGATCCTAGTTGTGAAAGTCGGAATTGGTAGATACGAAGGAATGTAGCTCGATCGAACATTTGCCATGAAAAAAATAGCATTAGAATAGCAAGAGTCTAGAAAAGTTTCGTTTGCGGGAAAGGAGTTGTAGTGTGGAAAATAGATCATCGCCACAAGATCACGTAAAGGCCGATGAGCTCTGTCAAGGTTGCAAAGTGGACAGTTCTAGCCCAGATATTGCAACAATACATCATTCTGAGTCTGATCTGACTCTTGTAAAAGAGAGAGCATGTCAGGAGGCATCAGGTGCATTATGGAACCGTACAAGGAAAATACCATGTTTCGAATTTGAGTTCCACTTGAGTTTTGAGGTGAGCTTGAATCTCAGTAGCTGTTGAAGTCAGGGTTTTTTTGGTGACTGGAGAAAATGTTTTTGCTTGTCAGGATGCATCATGCAAACATATTAATTGCTACATAATATTAATTTTAAAGAGATCAACGATATATAGGCCAAAAAGTCAAAATTTGATTAATACGATATGCCATATATTTTTTCTCCTTAGGTAGGGCCATAATGTCTCTAAGGCGAAAGGGTGTTACTGGAAGTGAAAGATATTAAGAAGAGTTGGGCGAGGAGAAAGGGCAATGAGTGAACAAGAGGGTTTCATTTCCATTTGTGTAAATTATAGGTGGCAGGGAAGCAAACAATTAGAAATGATTTTCACGTGTGAGAAATGCGAAAAAAATTTATCAGAACAGAACTAGCTTACAGCTGTATAATTTAGTATTTTATAGGGATTCTTTTGACATTTTATAGGGATTCTTTTGACATTTTATAGGGATTCTTTTGACATTTTATAACCTGATGAACAGTGGTTTTTTAAAATTCTACTGTTTAAAAATATTTCGAGCAATTCATTCTCCTTTGCTGAGATTTTCTTTGATTTAATATTGTCACAGACACCGCTTGTAGTGATTAACTAAAATTTCTATTGTAATATCTGAAATGGAAGAGACATTTCTATTAATTGGGAACTTTGAAGCCTTTTTATCAAAGCCAGTAATAGCCTTCTTTTCAGAAAGTTAAGTAGCATTTTTATTAATTAACAGTCACTTTATGTTTATAGTCTTGGCTGTATGGTGTACAAAAACTTACAATTATCTGCATTTATCGAAAAAAAATAATCACATTTCAAGAGATCAATTATTTTACTATCTTCAATATTAACCCAACAAAATAGTCCACTAAGTTATTTTATCTTCTAAGCAATGCTGCAGAACTGTTTACAGAAAATACCTATCTAGCTCAGAAATCAGGTCTGTCTAATGTAGCTTTACATTCATCAGTAAAGATTACTTTCCCGAAATCAGGTTTCACCGACTCATTTTATTTCCAGTTTTAATTAAGGTGGTAATTAGATTGATT